GCCCGCTCATGCCACTCCTTGTAGAGCTTCCGGATCAAACACACCGTGGACTGAGGCGTAGGCACCTGCCCGCTAATGCTTTGTTGAAGAGTGTTAAGTGTTGGACATTTTATATTACCCTTTTAAGTCATTGTTAGTTTTTTAAGGACATAATTTGCAACTTTTTCTTGTTTAATAAGTTATTCTTAAATGGTTCGTACCAAGAAAAATAAAAATGCAAAAAAATTAGGTGATTTCAAAAATGAAAAAATATACAAAGTACGTAATACTCTCTCCGTCCTTGAGTATTTGTCCACTTTTGATTTTTTTTGGTCAAAACTGGTAAACTTTGACCTCAAATTAAATAAAAATTGTATTAGATATAGATACGAAAAGAGTTTTGTTAGATTAATCATATGAAATATTTTCAAAATATTATTCTATCTAATTAAAACACAATATATATTTTATTGAATTATAGGTCAAAGGTTAAAAAGGATGGACTGAAAAAAGTCAAAACTGGATAAATACTCAAAGACAGAGGTAGTATATTTTAAAAATGTAAAAAAAGGATGAGCCTCATTCCTGAGGGTTCCCTAAGACCCGTCCGGATGGCCAATGATAAAAGGTATATTAAACTTTGATCACAATTTGATAGCAAAAATTGGAGATGAAGCACTGATTGTAAACGTGTTAAGAATTTGGAGATGAAGCAAAAGAAGTGACTGTTAATATGATAGAAAATGTAATAATTGCATCCTAAAAAATAGGAGAATTTAATGGTTGGTATTATCTCTAAATATGTAAAGAATATAAAAATTAAGAATGGAAGGACAATATGCATGTGTACCAGCGCGTGGATGCGATCATGCGAGATAACATTAGAAGGGCAAATATGGATACATGAACAAATTTTAGTCTTAGAAAAAGGAAAAAAAGTAAAGAGTCTTATTTAGGGAATAGTGGCTTTTAGTCCTAGTTGCAACAAATTTTACTTACGTTTATTGTGATTGCCAATCAGCAATAGGACGAGCTCGGAGCAATATATACAATGATAAGTCTAGGCACATTCGCCATAGACACAAAACCATTAGGTTACTTCTCAATATGAGCATTATCTCAATTGACTATGGTAGGCCAAAGGATAATTTAACGGATCCACTAACCAAAGGGTTAACACATGGACAACATGAGAAGTTAGTAATAAGAAAGGGTCTGAAAGCCCTACCCTGTGTTGGGAACGTTCCATGAAGAAAAATCCAAGTTGGGTGGTACCTAGGTTCAATGGGACAACCTACTTGTGGGACGAAGCATGGTCATTGTGGGGACGAGCCGGATCACCGATTCAACACCCCTCCGTTCCTACCAAGATATAGTGACTCACGAAAATGAGGAGGTTAGCGTGATTCTATAATAATTCTTGAACTATGGACAATGGGGTCCAAGTGGAGTAATCAGGATACTCTTAGAAGAATCACCTATGTAAGAGTGAAGTGTGGTCGCTACAACAGAAGGATTTTGGGTTGATCATGTGTGACACTCTTGTAGAACTAGATGCGTGTTCCACGACCATAATGGGCACACCCATGAGAACAGAATGATGGTTGGTTAAAACCTCTGTATGGTATATCATCGTTTACAAAAACGACAGTACAGTTCAAAGACATCATGCTCTACTCAACTGTTAGTAAAGAAAGTATACTTTACAAGGAGTAAGTTCAAAGGCATAAAACCTACCTACTCTTGCAGTTCTCAACTATAGAATTATTTGCCAAGCACGCAAATTATTTTTCATTCATGTAGCGGATTGTTGAAATTTTTAACTCTTAACAGGACAACTTTGGATGTAAATTCGGTAGAGTCTACAAAATTATTTTTCAAAAATAATTATGGAAGAATATTATTCTAAGTGAGACGAGTATTTCGTTATATTGTGTGCCAAAATTAGTGCTCGGATGAATGAGAGGGTAAACCCCACGTATCCTACATCGGATTTGAGACCCTTCAATTTCCTCCATTTATATGCTAGTCTTTAATAGCATTGTAAAAGAAAGTTATAGAGGGAGAACCAAGGGTGCCCTTGCGCACCGCCACACCGCCTTTCGTCTGGCTCGACAGGACACGCACGCGCGCACACACGCACGCGAACGCATGTTGGCGTTTGGAGTTGGCCGAGCCCTTATCTTTTTACGGGACAAAATTAAACACGTGTTTGCTTCGTTAATAACGAAGTGTTGGCATGCACGCACCATTGAAGGGACTTCGTGACCCTTCGGTTTGTCCGGCCACATCCGTCCCTTTGAGTCTCTCCCCTCCTACATAAGGAGGGCGAGTTCAAAGTAGATAGACACACTCTCGAAAATCCTAAGGGAGGGCAAAGATAATATATGGAATAGAATAACCTTGTTAGAGTGTGCTTAGGACTCTCAACCATGGCTTCCTCCTTAAGAATAGCAAACCAAGTAGGATTAGAATTCAAGTGGGATTAGAATTCTCTCTTCAAGCTCTTTCCTCTTTCTCTTCCTTCACATGCTAGGACTCTAAGTATAAATAAAATATCTAAAATAATTCTAGGTAAATCTATTCATTTGTCAAAAAATAATGTCAACACAATATGGAACTAACAATCTCCCCCTTTGGCAATTTTTTGACAAAAACGAATCTCAACCCTTTTGAACCTCTTCTCCCCCTTTTTTTGCATAAAAAATGCCAAAGATTTTATTAAGAACATTGGGGCAAAAAGAGAAGAGTAACATTCAAGCGAGCTTGAGGATTACAGTAATGAATATGAAAATAGACCTAGACTTTGTCACATCAACTGAGCCATATTGAGCGACTCCCCCTCGGACAATCCATCTGAAAAGTAATAATCTACAAGAAGAAAAAGACATGTATAGAACTAGCAAAAACATCTATTCTCTAAGGTATTCAACGCTGGAGATGAAATACCTCTTAGAGCATCCTCTAAATCAGGTGGAGATGGGTGTGCACAGACCCAAGCGGATCTGAGTATACCAAACCGATTCCTATCAAATGCTCTTTTACACATGCCCAATGCCTGTTTTTTCATAGTCATAAACTTCACACTCTCATGTCTAGGAGATGTCACTTCATCACACTTATGAGATGATTCAGCACTCTTAACAGCACAGCGATCTATCCTCTTTTCTTCTTGATGCACTACCAACATGGCATTGATCGGAAGCAACATCCTTCACACAAGGATTATCACCTGTTTTGTATTGATTCTTAGGTACCCTAATCATCCTTGTTGTCACATTCTTTGTTCTATATCTTTGCTCTTTAAGATTCTTGCATTTCCTCTGAATGTGTCCCCTCTCTCCACAGCAAAAGCAAACATAATTAGCATAGGTATTAGTATAAGAATACCTTTCAGGTTTAGGATAATCATCCTTGCGTCTTCTCACACTAGATTGTGTCACAACTCGTTGCCTTTTTACATAGGGTACTGCATAAGATGTTCCAGCAGAAGCTACATGAGATGCTTTTGCGTGTCTGGCAGAAAATGTTCTAGCAGATTCAGCAGCTTCTGTTTTCCTTCTTTGTGAGACCTTTTGAGCAATTTCTTTTCTTTGATCAACAAACAAGTCAAGTGGGATCTTATTGCTTTCGAAACCTGAAAATTCCAGACCCGTCTTGTCTCCATAAAATTTTGAAATGTTCACTTGTTCTTCAATAGCTTTTGCTCCATCACTTCTCATCTACTTGTGAAAGTTTTTGAGTTGATTTAATTCATACTTGAGATCAGATTGTTGCCCTTCTAATTCTTCAATCTTCTTTTCTAGTTCTGAAATACCTATTTCACTCGGCAACAAGCTGATGGTTCTCCAGGACAGTTTTTTTGTTGGCTTGAAGAAGTTCTACCCACTTTCTTTGGAGAATAGCTAGCTCTTCTGCTATGTCAAACATTTATTCTTGTTTGGAGAATAGCTAGCTCTTCTGCTATTTCACCCATTTTTTTGATTTAGCAAGTTCACGTTTGAGACTACCATTTTCCAAACATTTATTCTTGTTGACCCGTAGCGACTCTTCAAATTTTTCGTCAACAATTATATCCATCTCCTTTGAATCAACATCACCAACAGAGTCATCGCAATCACTATAGTAAGTTGGAAAAGCACAACATGTTCTAGCACTATGTTTAACACACTGCATCTCTTTTTCAACGGGAATGACACAAAGCTTCTTACATCATAGATCTTTATTCATCTCCAACTCAATGGTTTCTAAATTTCCCATCAGTTCATCAAACTAAAAAAATATATTAAGATTGGGGAAATAGATGATATGGTCGAAGTAAGAGAAAATGAGTTGCTAAAATACAATTTAGAAACTATATTAGCATTTAGAAGACAAATATGAGGTGGGTTGTAGATGCTCGAAGAGTTGAATAACATCATCAAGAGAAACAAACCTAATACTCCCTCCATTTAAAAAATTTCTTCCAATTTGACATTTGTTAGTCAAAGATTTTAAACTTTGACTCCAATTCATAGAAAAATACAATGTATTATGATATAAATTTAATATCAATATATATTTCTATTGTAAGGTAATTTTATAATATCAGATTTTTAAGGTAATTTTATAATATCAGATTTTTATAAAATATATCTATAGACAAATATAGATATTAATGGTCAAAGTGCAATATTTGAGACTATAAAAAGTTACGAAGTATATGAAAAGAAAACTTTCAGACGAAGGAATATTGAACATTGAACACCACAGTTTTATTGACCTTCGTTAATTTGACCTTCAAATGACCCAGGTAACCTATAATGACATCGGTGAAATTGATGGTCCTCCTTTCCCCCACATTCCTCAAGAAAACCCATGCACCCCTTGCTCGCCCAAATCGCGATCTTGGGGGGAGGGGGAAGGAAGGGGGCATGGGGATTTTGCATGAAGGTGTTAGAAAGGTAAGAATTACAGAGTATTAATTTTACCAACGAGACACCATACGTGCCAAGATCATTTTATGTGAAGGTAAACGAACCTTGACGATGTTGAATCACAACATTAGAAGAAAAAAGATCCTCATTTTATGTGAAGGTAAAAGAACCTTGACCCATATTGAATCACAACATTAGAAGAAAAAATTCCTTGACAAAACAAGCGAGAAAAAAAAGGGACAAAAGTCGTCTAAAGATTGTTCTACCTCTTAGCAGGACAGAATAATTAAACATGTCTCCAGAGTAACATTAATTTCTTATACTCAAAAACTGCATATAACCAAGTCATCATAAATAAGTTTTGCGTCGCACAATCATTTGAACTTAGAGTAGTTTGCAACCTTAAAAACAGCATGCCTCAATCTTCCCCAACTCCACAATTCTGCAAGAATAGGGGAAATAACCATCAAGAAAACAAATCAAACCATCTCATTCCTTTGATGCAGCTTCCTTGAACTCCCAAAACTTAACTGCAGCACCTTTTATACAGGTATGGACCTGGGCTTGATATGTTCGTTTCTCTCCATATTCTGTAGCAGTAAAGGTCGCATAAAATGTAAAGCAAGAAGTTGCTTCCCTGTTTGCCTTAACAAGTTCCCCAAATTCAAGATTTCTCCCTCTCTGCACGCAGCGTTAACATTATTAGACAACAAAAATCAGCCAAATATTTGTAGAGTTATCGGCATAAATAATCCCTATGGTCTTACATAAGTAAATAGTCCATGTACTTTCAGAAGCTGTGAAATAGTCCCTACGGTTTATAAAAACCGCTACATAATTAGTCCTTCTTTTAGGGAAAACATGAAGCACACAAACGACATGCATACTATGCAAAAATGCGAAGCATGTAACAAAATAAAGAAGCTAGCCTGACAAAATTACACTTGTCTTTGTGGTTAAAAGACCAAGATATGGGAGACAGGAAGAAGACTTTGTGTGAGTTGAACCAAAAGATGGAAGACATTGTACTGCGGTTCAAGCTAACACATGACAATTAAGACTCTAGATCAATTTTGTATTATTACATGCTTCAGATCTTCACATAATACACACATGCTTCACATTTTCTTTAAATGAAAGAGTAACTATGCAATGATTCTTTGACCACAATGACTATTTCAAAAAATTTGAAGGTTCGACGATTATTTACCCAGTTATTGAAGACTACGGTGATTATTTAAGCATATAACTCATATTTTTATAACAGTACATATTAATTGCAAGGGCATAGGTTTTTGATGATACCAAACCTTTTGATTAAGATAAAGAATCATTCTTTGGACAGCTAGGATGCAATGATCATAGTACAAGTCTCCAGATGCAAGTTTCACAGGATACAGCAGATCACATAACATATAAGGGAAACTTGGAGACGGTCTAAAATAGTTAGTGACATCGTAGCCCTGAGGAACAAACAATTAAGAAAACATTTTGAGGCAAGCATCGGGGACGGAAAAATTCAAGCAAAGCAAGAGCAGTAGAGATTTTAAACAACATTACCCCAATGGCAAGATACTCAGCCCTGTATTCTCTAAAAGCGTCCATCTCTTCAGCAAAGGGACCAGTTACAATCAGATCAGGCTCCCCATCTGAATCGTATGTATCCTCATATGGGACGTTTGCTTTTAACTCCATTCTAGTCTCAATTGGAGGGTCATCAGTTAGGTCAGTAACGATTCCCACTTCGTCCTCCATTGTGTTGTCCAGATGGGGTGATTCTTCTTCTTCTTCTTCTTCTTCCGAGTCCGTGGTGTCCACCAATATCTTTGGAGGTGAATGGCAAATTTCCAAACGTGAGAACTCTGTCGATACAGCCATGGCTTAGATCCTGAAGGTTATGCCCTAATCAATCGATGTCCCAAAACCAGACACAACAGTTTCATTAAAAACAAAAAAAATCATAACAATTACTCCGTACGTAGTATAATGATTTCATCCGTCAACAATT